GTGTCCTTACATGGTGGAAAGCAGAAGGGCAAAAGGGACAAATTCTATGTCCTCACATGGCAGAAAAGCAGAAGAGCAAGCTGGCTGAACGCTGCGTGTAGCCTCTTTGTAAAGGCCTTAATCCCATTCATGGGGGTTAATGCTATCATGCTGGCGACACTTCAATTTTGGAGGGGACACATTCAAAGCATAGCAACATCTTAACAATATTAAGTCTTCTACTTCATGAAGTTGAGATGCCTTTTCATTTAATTATGTCTTCTTTAATTTCTTTCAGCAATATTGTGTAGTTTTTAGTGTGCAAGTCTTTTGCCACCTTATTTCTAAGTATTTTATTCTTTTTGATGCTATTGTAAATAATTTCTACTTTAAATGCTTTTAAACCTTTTTCATACCTTTACATTTTAATCTCTTTGGGATTTATTTTAGTTTACAGTGAGCCATTGTCTTTAGAATTTTTTTTTTCAAATAGCAGAACAATTCTAGCACCATTAAATTACATATTAATGTTATATTACATATTACATATTAATGTTAAATAACATTTCTTTAGAATTTTTTTTTTTCAAATAGCAGAACAATTCTAGCACCATTAAATTACATATTAATGTTATATTACATATTACATATTAATGTTAAATAACATTTCCATTTCCCACAGATTTGTAATACTATATTCTTCATATACCAAATTCTCATTTTTACCGGGGTCTTTTGCTAAATTATCTGTGCTGTATCACTCATCTCTTGGTTCTTGTGTTCCTCCTTAGAATGGGTACAGTTAGAGTCAAGTCTTGGGCATGGCCGTGCATTTAGCATTACAGTATTTCTATTCTGCAAAATGATTATGTTAGCCCTGAGATTGGTGGGTCTTATAGCAGCTGAAGCCTTTTCAGGATAGTTCTCATTCTTTCTTTTGCCAGACATGCGTTCGTTTATTGGTGTACCTCTTATTTCCTTGGGCTGGAAGACAGTGAAACAACCAGTATATGTAAGTACCCTGGATGAAGGGGCTTAGAAAGGGGCTTTAGCTAAGTTGAGGTTTGGGTGATCAAGTTTCTAGTTTTGTCTTAATCTAGTAACTCTGTCATTTTCTTTTTTATTAACTTGCTTCAACTGGTTGCTTCTTAATTTACCTAAGAGGTACATTCCTTCTCAGTGTCTTCACTTGTTTATTCATTTAAGAAAAATTTATTGAACTCTTAATGTGCTAGGCACACAGCACATGTCACATGTCACTGGGGAAATAGAGATACTAACTAGACAGTCACAAATTGCTGTTCTCAAATTGCTCTCAGTCAGAGGCATGTAAGTAAAGCAATTATTGTGCAATGTGATGAGTGCTATGATAGAGAGAGGGTTTTATGTAATTACATCAGAGGGGAACCTGATCCAGACTTGGGCCTCTCAGGAGAAATGACATTTAGGGTGAGACCTTAAAGATGATTTACAGGTAAGTCAGATAAAGAGGGTTGAGGAAGAATATTATATGCAGAGGGAGCAGTATGTATAGGATCCCAGAGGTGAAAGAGCATGTTGGATTCCAAGTTAGGTTGAACCAGGCTTTCTCAGTAGTGGTACTATTAATGTTTTGGACCAGGTAGTTTTTTGTTATGGGGGCTGTTGTAGGATGTTTGGCAGCATTCCTGGACTCTAGCCACTAGATGGCAGTTGCTGCTCCCCTCCCCGACCAAGTTAGGACAACTAAAAATGTCTCCAGACAGTTGTCAGATGTCCCCTGGGGGCCAAAATCACCCATGGTTGAGAAGCACAGGGTCTAAAACCATGTAAAATTTCTATGTTTGAAATCAAATTGAAATGGTAGAATATCAGCAATTCACGTGGTTCAGCCTGACAGTTTGTGCTGCTTTAGTGTCAGAGTTGGGAGGAGTGGTAGGAGATGAGATTGGCAAGATAGTGAGCAAAGGCAAATCAGAAAGGCCAGAGCCACCTGAAGATAAGTACATCCGACTAGGGAAAATACTCAGGTGAGCCTTCTAATGCAGGGATTATTTGAGCTCTTGAGAAGGCAAGTTCCTCAGGAAGCTTTCTGCAAATAGACACTGCTGTTATTTTAATTCTATCACATTTTCTTTGTTGTGATTTGTGTGGCCTGCTTTTCTTCCTCCTTCCTTTCTCCCTCTCTCCTGCCCTTTCTTCCTATCTCTCCCTCTCTGTCTCTCTCTGTTTCAGCAATTACTGAAGTGTATGTTGTGATTCTTATAGGTTGTAGATGTATCAAAAGGAATTATTAATGCAGTTAAGGATCCAGATGCCAAAGGGAAAACCTTTGCTTTCGTTGGGTAAGTGCCTAGAGTTTGACATTAAAATTGTGCTATCTATTAAGATGAAGGAATCAACTTCTAAATTAGTCACTCACAGATTTATTTGTTGCATTTTTATGGTATA